TAATCTACATATCGGCAAAATTATTGGGGGGGAACGGCCCCCCCGTGCCCCCCCCCCCCGGTTCCTACGGCCATGAAATTTTTAATAAGATTTCGAAGTGCATTTGATGCAAATATAGCAGAATACTGTATTACCTTAAAGTGACCTAAACAGCATAAAATATTGGATGTTAACCGTTGGCCTATAACTCTAGGGACTATTCGATCAACTAAAGATGGGGGAATTCTAAGCCCTCGTTTTTAACAGAAAACCGGAATCTTAATGTTTCATAAAAGATTAAACATGCATGTATTTTTTTTCTTACACAGGGAGTCACATTTCCGGTACTATAATATGTCACACGCTCACGCAATACACAATTGAAGCTGACAAAACATGCCTGACAGGAACAGACATTGCTTCTATCAAGTCCTTGTTTGTAAATGTCGATCTGAAACTGATAACAAGGGATGGAAACCATGTATCATTGTCCACAAAACCATGCTCGTGTGCTGGATCATTTTATATTAACGGTAAATTTCAGTGATTCCTCTCTCTCTCTCTGTGTGTGTGTGTGTGTGTGTGTGTGTGTGTGTGTGTGTTTGTCACCAGTTTTTTATCATAAATGTGATTTCCATGAAATTTAAGAACACAATACACAATTTCATAGCCCGCAGTAATATGGCTGTAATACTACCGACTCGGCGTTTAACAATACTCAATCAATCACAACTTCATAGGAATGAACAACCTGGTCAAGGTTTCATATCACAAAGAGTTTGTAATTGTCAGTCTGTTTGTCTGCCATCTTTAACTTAAACTTCTATTACATCCTCTGCGTCTTTGGGCCTGGTTTCCAAAGACTTCATGAATGTTGTCAATGAGGAACTCCAGAATCCTTTTAACATCAATCTCTACTACTACTTATGTGTAGAATCCAAGGGATTTTTACAATGTAATTCTGTAGATGACCAATCAAATAATAGGACATTTAAAATGTTCCGATTTTAGTTTTTGACCTGTATTTATACTGTGAATTACAATAAACAATGGATTTTAACCAGGTGTCAACTTGGGGTCTTCAAAATAACCAGCGTTGATTGTGATTGACTTTCGAGTCATGTGACAAGAAGATTATTTCGTGAGAGAGAGAGCAACTTGAAATTACTATTTCAATTGTTTTAATTTCAGACACCATGTCTAGTATTTACACACAGAAGACCGTGAAGTTGCATCCATTTGGCCAACTTACAACATACAATTGTGGAGATTTTTACCTTTACAACATTCATACCTTAGAATATTACAACAATCTTTTCAATGCTGACTTTTGCTTAGGTAAAAAAAAAATATTAACTTAATAATTAAGAAGGCAAAAGCCATCGCAGTATATTTACATTTACATATAATATTAGGTAAAAAATAATAACTTAAGTATCCAAATGGTTAGATATAGAAACAAGGTATTTATATATTTGGATATCAAACCCATTTGTTCTACTATATTGTGTTCATACATTTAGATATAAAATCGAATTAGAGAAAAAAATTATGGTATTCATGCCTATACTTTTTTATGGTTGTTAAAAAATCTATGATATTTAAAATAAAATATCCAAACATCTGCAGTATACACCTAAATATTAATTAAATTGTTAGAAAATCCTTTGTCTAATTTTGTCTTTAACGTATAGATACGCCCACCTGTTCATCCCTAAATACAACAACAACAGTTACAGGTAAAGTCTTTCAGTAAATGAATAAAGGACGTAAGACTAAAGATTTTTTTTCTTACTGAAAAAGGAAAATCATTCGAGAATTAAAGGAATATTGAATAATAATTTTATAGACTTAGACATGCTTGATTTGATTCGTTGTCATATAATGACAAAAAAGTACAAGAGGTATGCCTTTTTATTGCTTTAGATTGATATTGCTTGAATTCTACTTAAAGTAGAATGGTATTTTCCTATTAATTCTTTACAGATAGTGGCTTAAAAACTTGTGCAGAAGTTAAACCGGTCTTAATGGAATCAGAAGATGGCAAACAATTGGAGCCGGTATTTCTGTGTACCTTTCCTCCGCTAGCTGATGGTGTGACGTATGATGTATCATGGTTCATCAATGACGAAGAATTGACGTGGGCGGCATTTATTTCTGTTTTATACCCTGAAGTGAATTCAACTTCTCTAAAGCCCTCAAAATGGGCGGGAAACTACTCACTCAATTTTAATGTACGTTCAATGTATATGTATTTTTGTTTGTTTGTTTTTTGTTTTGTTTTGTTTTGGTTTTTTTTTTTGTTTGTTTGTTTGTTTATTTGTTTTTTTTTTTTTTTCGTTTTTTTTTTTTTTTTTTTTTTTCGTTTTTTTTTTTTGGTATTGGTCAATTAGATCTAATTACATTAGCATAAAATGTACCTGGGTTGAAAAACTATTTATTTTGTAATAATTAAATAATCTATAATTACATAGAATGTTTCTTAACAATTTGTAGGTAGCATGTGCAGTGAGAGTACAAAATGCCTCTTCTTTGAGTATCGGCCCAATGTACAAGAGTCGCAACTTTTTTGCTGGAATCAAAGTACTTATTATTTTTTTTTAAATCAACTTTTAGATAAAGTAATTTTCCTTTTAATTACGAATACTTAATTATACTATAGACGATAGAGGAAATTCGAGCAATAATTCTCACATTTCTTCACAACCACGTGTCTGTTAACAACATCGTATAGATTGAATCCATTATACAAAGATAAGACATTTTTAGTAAACCATGTCGTTAGTGCTGAATATCTTCACTTATTTGCTATACTCAATTTTTTTTCATAATTTTAATCGGTGGACTTCCAATACTGCAGCGAAAAGTAAGTTTCTGTGGACGACCTAAATTCCTCAAGATACATGTATCTCGGACGACATATTGCTTATAACTACCAAACAGTCGCGAGGAAAACAAATATTTTATGAAATCAGTGGTTTGATTATCTACTCTTAATTATTTTTTGAAATAAAATTAGCAACATTAAACCTTACGAGTACTGGACACACAGTGGTTTTTATAACCCTCGAGTATCAATTGTGTATACAAGGCGGGTACATGAAAGTGTTTGATGCTTGACCAGGCAATCGTCTTCAAAACATGCAAACTCAGATTATCAGGTAGCGCAGGTAGCTGGCCTGTCAATCAAATCAGAAGCTATTGTTTTTTTTATGATTGACAGGCGGTAATTTATTGATCTTGATTCAGGTAGATTTGGGGGGCGTTAACATAAAATTGGGTGTTTAAGAATATATCTATATCCTTTAAATCCTTGTTTGTTGTGTAGGAATTATCTATTATTCTGAAGTTTGTACAAAAATTTCAGTCAGAGCAACGTACGTATTATGTAACAGAGGGAGTGAAGTCACAGATAATACTAAAAAGTACCATACCATTCAGTTGTCCATTATCCTTAAGTGAAGAAATGCGAGAGGCGTTTTGTACGTATTACTTCTTTGTGTGGACACCATCAGAGGATAGCTGCAGAAATGGGATGTCTAGTAATGGGATTGCTTTGACAAACCAGCCCTGTGGGGTGACGTTTAACTTTAGAGACTGGGGCAATAGAAGTGTACATATAAATGTGACAGGTTATGTAGATGGCATGATTAACTACAATGACAGGACTACATACCTACACATAGCGTCAACAAGGAACCCAATGGATCCATTAGGAATCTGGGATAATTTGAAAGTGGATGAGATTCAGGTAACCTTTTTGGGGACAACTTATGTTGGTCATTTTTTCAGTGGAGTATTTATTTCTTTGATTCTACTTGAAAAATTCTTTAAGGTTAAAATAACTGATAAAGATAGATTTGTGAGTGGTCGCCAGTGCATATCCTCTAACGACCCCCACATGACAACCTTTGATGGACTTCAGTGGGAAAACCAGAGAACAGGAGTATTTATTCTGTATCAACACAAAACATTACCATATACGGTATATTACATTCTAAAATCAAACAAACTTTCACAGCGTTTTAGATGCATTGCCAGAAAAATAGACTTAAAATGTTTCAAATTTCAGGTCCACGTTATTTATTCTGCATGTATGCCATGGCGAGCAACATGCAACTGTGGAGTTGCTATAAGAAATGGATTCAGTTTTTACACTGTCAGAACGTGCGAAATGATTTCCTTTCAAAAAACCAAACTCTTGTCTGTTCCATTTGAAAAGAAGCATCTTTGTGAAGCGAAAGATTTGGGAATAGTGAAATCAGGGCAATTTTTTTCTGTAAGTACTGTAAAGGCATCTTAATATGTCTTCTTTTAAACATTTTAAGTAAAGGACTGTTTTTCTTCTTTATTAATAAACGAAAACAGAACAGGAATCTTGAGTTTTCATTCTCGTTAGGATGGATGGGTAAATAATTTTATTGTACTTAAGGTTACATTTCCAAGTGGAACACAAGTGTCGTTCTACATCTCATCTTGGAATAACTTTATCGGGAGTGTGAGGATCCGAGCTTCTGTGTCAGACATTGAGTCGTCCCTAGGTTTGTGTGGATTTACCAATGGCGATACATCTGATGACTTCATCCCAAAAGACGGCAGCAGCCCCACTGACTCCACTACATTCGCACTGTCATGGAGGTAACTAAAGTGAATTAAAAGACTTTTTGATAAATTATTTAATGATGATTTGAAGATAATCTGATAATTAATAAAAAGAAACATTAACGGTTTTTGGACTTGCAGAATCTCAGTGGATTCAAATGAAAGCCTCTTTTCGAGGAATCCCTCAATTCTTCAAGACAATTCTTGGATGTAAGTATTGTACTCTATATCGAACTCAGGAAATCGGCCAAATTCTTCAGGATAAAGGAAAACTTGAGATATTGTTTATAATTCTATTATTCTTCTGTTATTAAGAATGGGGTTTGAACTAGAATGTAATTCAAACCATGAATAATGATTGCAAATTTGTCACAATAAATCTAAATAAGTACTTTGGATTTCAGATACAATACAAACAACCCTTCAGATACTGGAAAGAGATACTGCACATGCGCTCAAAGGGAACCAGTAGATACATACCAGTTTGTCTTAGCGAACGAAGCTCATTGTAACATGACTTCGCCAAGTGAGTTATGCGAGGAAGATAACACTGCTTTCATAGTGAGTTATTGTCCAAGTTCCGATGAACGTAAAAAGAGATCTACAGAAGATACAGACGATGTTTCCTTGGACAGTGAATTAACGTATGATCCAAACTACAATGAGTCTGCCTTTATACAGGTACTTGAAAACAGAAAAAAATGTAGTTATGTGTTTTGTTGAAAATTATACAGCGTATATTAAAGGGTTTTTATCACGTTTCAAAATTTTTTGATATGACAAAGTTTACATGCTATTAAAATCATATATTTAAAAATCTTTGCTAGAAAATTAATATTTTTGATGTATCAGCGATTCAAAGTTTGAATTTCTCAATATGCATATTTTGATCGCCGATGTTACGCGCCATTGCTCTGACGTCATAGGTGTCAATCCTGGTCAAGCGAAGTACTTATTGTGTATACAAAAGGGCTCATTTGTTGTGTCTTTTAAACCTGTTAGAAAATAACTAAGTGATAATTGAATAATTGACAACTTGTAAGGTATAATTTAATTATGGCTTTATGGTGCACAAATGTGCATAGGAAAGGTTTTAGGAAGAATTTTTTCCCCACATTTCCTGGACTTGGTCGAGAGATAAAAGGGGGGCCCTCCTCTGCAAATGCGATGGCATTTATCTCCATTCAGAACAATCGTTTATGCCCGATCGATCACGACTTTTTTTCTGTCCTATAACATATTTTAAGGGAAGATACTTTTCAAAAAAATAATAAATGACAAACACGCATTTTTTTAAAAGTCGCACAGAATCTAGTAGGAATGTTGTGAACTTCGTAATGGCGTACGGCGCCATTGAAGAAATGTCATTTCTAGTACATGATTTTCACTGCTAGAGCTAATAGAAGATATACAGGATTTATTTATTTATAATTAATTAAAATAATAATGAAGGAGAATTTAAAATTCCCATATTTATAAATGTTTACGAAGTTAAACTTTTATATAAATTAGTAATTCGTTCTATTTAGTTGATGTCTCGAGCTGTCAACGGCTTCGTCTTCAGTGACCTCTCTCCAATTGTCGGCATATTTTCGGGTTATTTCTCTCTGCTAGACGTTCATACCTAAAAGATAGACCGTCCATAACCAATGGAATATAGTCTATGTCAAAATTTCAACCGGCCAAACTGTGTATTCTATTTATTTAGCGTAAAAATCTATTCAATGTATTTTTTTCTTACGATAAGCTTTAACGAGTTCTATTGACCATTGACACCTATGACGTTTCAGTACCATGTGACCCCTATCTAATTAGTGGAGATTTTACTTTGAGGACCCTATATTACGGGCGTTTTATCGTCTAATTACGGCCGTTTTCAACATTATTTCATAATAAAACGATAATAATATGTTTCAAGAATATAAAAGTGTTTCATTTTTAAGAAATTTAGATACGTGATAAAAACCCTTTAATCACACAAATACTGTAGATTGGCAAATAATCACGATGATGTTAATTTCACTATGTTCGCGATTCATCATTTTTCCGCGAAATTAAACCAATAGTGAATGCTATCATTAGTTTTTAAAAACTATTAAATGCTTATACGAAATTTAAATTAATTTCTTGCAGCGTGAAATTAAAACCATTGCGATTGGTGCTTTTTGAGAAATCGTGAAATTTTAACACCGTGAAATTAAAATGACTTACAGTACAAAGAGATGTTATGATATGAATCATACAGTGTTAATATTGTTATAACTTAGAATTCTTAATGTGTAATTTAGGTGGTGGGATGGATGAACGGTTGGAACGAAACAGTCGCAAAAGAGTTCTGTTTGAAACAATTTGCCTTTGATCCGGCATTAGAAGCATGCAACAGATTGGTGAACATAAGCACGGACCTATTTATCAATGAATGTGTCGCTGACATAAAGGTACTGCAGATGAGCTTTGACAGCTTTTTATTTTTTTTTTTCAAATATCTGTAACGATCAAATTAAATGGACATGTCTGCTAAAAGTTTAAATAGGTTTAAGGTCGTCAATCTATCCCTCAAGTAATTTGTCGTCTTGTAACAATGCCGACAAAAGACAACTCTAGTGATACAGGGTTTGTATGTTTTGTTTTTTTTTAAGAATAAATGGCAATGATCCAGTATCTAAAATATGACAGTATGCATGCATTATACACATGATGTATACTGAACTCACGAGATTATTTGGTAAAAAGATTTTGAGAAGTGTATCAAAGATAACTACATGGTCAGGCAATACACAGGACTGGCGGGACGAAGTGTGCTGACCACAGACTTGAAGGTTTATACAGTCGTTATAACGCGCATCGGGATAGAGCAACTTTGAGCCATTGAGAAAATAGATAACACAAGGTTTAACTAGATTAAGAGGCATAGATAGAGAGGTAAAAAGTACCAACAAAGACTGAATTTATATAAAAATAAATATAAGAAATCTTCTGGTCACTTCCTTTAATTGCTCTAATTGAATCGAATAAACCTGCTTCTACGCTATAGTGCTGATAGTCTTCAGCAAAGGATTTTTTTTCCTTTTATTTTCAGTAAATGGTTCAAAGTAAAACAGACCTCTGCTCAGTGTTCCGTTCACCTACGTACATCCCAGAAAACCCAAAATTGTTATATTAGCATCCCCTGCATTTATTCATTTTGAAAGGAAGATTTTCATTAAAATTCAAGATATATTATCCTAATATTCCTAACTCGAGCTTTTCATTTTCTTCAGCTACCCAGAATTTTTTTGCAGGGGAATCCTTATATAACGATTTTGGTAGCGAAACTCGCGATTTTTTTTTGATTTTTTTTTTTTTTGTTTGTTTGTTTGTTTTTTTTTTTTTTTTTTTTTTTTTGTTTTGTTTTGTTTTGTTTTTTGTTTTTTTTGTTTTTTTGTTTTTTTTTTTTTTTATTAATTTTTTTTTTGTACGCGAATAAATTGGTTTACAGTAATCTTTTTATTATTTCATCTCGATCTATTCATATTCTTCAGCTTTCTGGAGATACTTCATTTATACAAGACACCTTGAACACAGTGAAAGGAGTTTGTCTTACAGAAGCCACAAGGAACGAAGCATTTTACCTCAACCAATCATCTGAAACCAATGGATTGTCGATTTTTGAATTTATTTCATCGTTTTTGTGTCATCGTAACTGTTCAGGAAATGGAGCTTGTGTGAACGGTAATATATATATATATATATATATATATATATATATATATATATATATATATATATATATATATATATATATATATATATATATATATATATATATAATTTAATTTTGTTTGTATTCTAACCTCTGATTGGTTAATATCCAAAAAGGAACACAAATTATTTCTGTATAACTTGGTTTGGTATGGGGACACACCCCCCTGACAACCAGCTGAATCATCTGTATCCATTCAATCCTCTCATTTCCAGTCCTCGGGATTCATGGAAAATTCCAGATTTAATGAATGTACCAAACAATAATTCGATCTTACCACATGTAAACAAACAACAAGGCTGCTAGGCCTATGTATCAGTTTTTACCTCCCCTCGCTTCCCATTACTTCCGGTACTTCCGTTACTAAGGTTGTATAATTGAGCAGCAAATTTGAACTAATAAAAAGCAACGAAATTTTACACCCATAGTTATTTAATGATTTTAAAATTAAATTATAAGGAATGACTCTAATTCTTGGCCAAATTATTCGCGTATAACCTGGTTTGGGTCAGTTTACGCTGTTTTATAATCCGCTTCGCGGATTATAAAGCGTAAACTGACCCAAACCAGGTTATACGCGAATAATTTGGCCAAGAATTAGAGTCATTCCTAATATATATATATATATATATATATATATATATATATATATATATATATATATATATATTAAACAAATATAAAAAGAAAACACAAGAATCCTCCGTAAAGCTTTAGCGCTTTCATTAAAAATCTTCAGAAGCTTTACATATATATATATATAAGCTTTACATATATATATATATATATAAGATATATACATATATTAGCTTTACATATATATATATATATATATATGTTTTCTCTGTGATAACTCTTTGGAAGTTAGTTGTGTTGATTTCTTGATCATTCTACCGGAATGTAAATTTCGCCAAGCGAAAGGTCAGGAGCTAAAAAGGCCTTATATGCATGTAATTCTCGTGCGGCTGTCCTTGTGTCTGACGCTAAGGAAGCCTAATATGCATGTAATTCTCGTGTGGCTGTCTTTGTGTTTGACGTCAGCTGTGGGCGAGGACTATTGAAATTGACATGTGAGGCCTCGTGTAATTTAAATCTATTAGTCTACATTTTTAAAATCTAAATTTACAATTTTATTTCACAATGAAATGGAAATATAAGGAATTACTGTCTAGTTAGTAGAGTATGCCAGGGACATCAACGATGGTTGGAAACGTGGGATAATTTATGCATATATATAACAGAAACTCTAATTATTGCTGGTATCATCCACACATCTGCCATATAAAATAATACCTCACATAACATACCCTCTCGTTGTTAATGTTTGTGGGATTTGTTTCGAAATGAAAAATGTGAAGATAACAAACAGTGATCGATCTCCTTTAAAATCTACGAATTGTTCACAGGGCATAAAATACGCACCCCCGGAAATTTCAGAGGTGGGATCATGTGCCGAACATGAATAAGCATTCCCTATTGACCGGGCACACCCGCCGTGAGCCCTATGTATTCATCAGGTAGACGATATATTCCGGTCATATTTTTAATAAGGTCATTATAACGACCATATAATTTACGAAATGCCGATTCTAAATGAGGTTGTTGAAATCCCTGTAACGTCTACTCATTTGTCAGTAGTCTGCCTCGGTTTAAAAATTGATTGTGCTCAGAGCCTGCTCTCGAGTATCAAAAAAGGTGTGAAATGTAAACACAAATGCAGGTAATAGTTATGGAATATTACTATATAGATAAGGAAAGTTGACGATGGAAAAGCTGAATTGAACTTATTTTTTCCTTTTGATTTACTGTGTTCTCATTAAAATATTGAATGTCAAAATGCTGAAATATTTTTTTTTAAGATATCAAAATATGCAATATATTTACTCCAAAATCAGCTGTATAAAAATGTTAAAAACACATGAATTTACAATTTATATAATCTTTATATAATAATAAGTTCTTAATTTTTTTAGGTAGATTTTAACTTATTGGTATTCTTTACTTTTGTAAACCTGTCATGTGTTTCAATTGTAGCCACCTGTTCATGTTTTGATGGTTATATTGGTTCTGACTGTTCTGGGGAGCTTTCTTCTCCCCCTGAGAATTTTTTTCTTCCTTCTAATGGATTATGCGATAAAAGAGTTAGAGAATGTCGTAAAACTAACATCATGGGATTCTTCCATGCAGAAAATGTGACAGCGAAATTTGCGTACTTCAAGGTAAAGTTATGAGAAAGCTTTTTTAGCTGTTCACCTAGTCTTTTATCGATTTTGACTGATGTTGCAAAATTCATTCAAACAGGTTAAAGACAGTGGCATTCAAAATTATGCTTATACCATAACTCAGACCTCAACTTACCATGATTACAACTTGATATCCGTACAAATACCAGATGTGCCTAAAACAAAGCGGAGAAAACGATCCACAGATTCTGACCAAACTGTTCACGGATGGAACATTTCTCTTAGTAATGATGGCATCACATTCAGTAACCATGTAACCTTGCTGATATTCGATGGTCTGACGCACAAATGTGACGTTCAAATACTTCTTTGCCATTCTTTTGTAAGTATTATATTTCACCGAAGTTACTTGACTTTTTTAAAAGCAAGATATCTTGTGAAATTGTATAAGGGAAAAAATATTAAAGCAATAACATATTTCTTGCATGTTTGAAAATACTTTTCATGTTTAACAATTTATTTTACTTTAATCTAGAACGCTATATCTTCGAGTTCCACGACAAAGACTGGTAATGAATGGAATGGTTTTTTAACATTTGTGTAGACATTTTTTAATTCCTAGTTCATTATTTGATTTGATGATACAAAATGGTAAACTTAGTTTTTTTTTTTCTTCTGTTCCAGGAACCACGTTACTGGCGATCACAGTTGGTGCAGTTATCGGAATAGTTGTTGTCATAGTAATAATTGTCAGCATAGCTGTCGTTAAAATCTCCAAACAGTGGGTATATTTATTTCACGTCAAAATAAATCCATGACATCTATTTGGAAGAAATTACGTCAATGAAGAATATATTTTTATAATTTTTAAGAAAAAGAAGTTCTGTTGATGCCTTTGTCACTATGCCAAATAGCCGTCTAGGCCCTGGTCGTCATGGCAACTTTAGAAACCTTTCCAGATATCAGCCTAATGGATGCACTCCAAGAAATAATCACGGCGTCAATTCATTTTCTGAAGAAACCCCAGACATGGGTGATCCACCAAAGATTGATATTTTCTTGATCCGAGACTCACTTGCTAAATCTAGTATTCCACCAATCAAAACTAACATGTAGTAAATCTAATATTCCAACAATCAAAAGTAACATGTGCTGAATCTAGTACTCCACCAATCAAAACTAACATGTCAAGATTAAAATACAGTATATTTGTCTTTATATATAATGTTTTATCTACGCTTTCCTACGCTTATCTACGCTTTTCCTGGATATTTTATTAGAAAAAGACGTTAATGGTAATCTGACAACAAAGCTTTATGATAAACGTGATGACTTTAACTTTTCAATCGTCAGCTTCCCTTACTTATGCAGCAATATACCCTTACCATCTGCATACGGGGTTTATATCTCTCAGTTGATTCGATACACTAGAGCATGCTCTACGTATGAACGAGGTAAGTTATTGACAAATAAGTTGATGAAACAAGAATGTCAACAGTCTCGTTTAAAGTCATCATTTCGTAAGTTCTATGGTCAATACAATGACCTTGTCATCAAATACAATCTATCATTAAGTCAAATGCTGACTGACTTTTTTCATTCCAATTGTTAGGCCATTATTTACAAACTGAATTGTCGACGGATTTTTCCGTTTTTTCCCGATCATGACAAGGAGCACAAGGCGGGTGTGACCGGTCGGCAGGGGGTGCTCACTGCTCCTTGGTACCTGATCCCACCTCTGATGTCTTAGAGGTTCGTGTTTGCTCTGCTCCTGTTCTGTAATGTTTAATGGACTTTTAAGCTCGAATACTGTTCGTTATCTCAACATATTTCATTATATTTCCCAAATCGGAATACAGCGTTACCAAAATACCGTGGCCTCTATATTTTGTATGAAATGTAAATATAAATGGATTTTACAGGCCAGTATCAACGGTTTCAAAAGTGTAGGGGGATGAACTTCGCAAAACAAAATGACAAGCCAAAAAAAAAAGACCAAAACGTGGGGGGGGGGGGCAATTTCCCAAACTAGTCTGACAAACAAAAAACATAATTTTATACGAATCCTGGAATTTGCTGGTGCTGCAACAAAAAGTGGGAACGGGGTGGGCAACCAGCATCTAAGGTAAAATCTACTATTATAGCAAAATACTATACTCAGAAAAAGTGGGATGCCCCCTGCGTTTTAGGGGCCTGTTCTACCTTTTATCAGATATTTTAAAATATCGTTGAACCTAGTGTTTTTCCATCTGTTTTGGCCTTTTATATTTTACTTGTGTGTAGATACAGTAATTTTAAATGTATTGATATCATCTGTTAATGATATGCATTGTAAATGTTCTAAAATGTTGATATCCTGACTTGTTTGTCTTGTTTTTCAAATTAAATCGCCACAAAACTAAAACCTAGTAGAATTTTTAAAAACATATAATCCTCTTAAGATTTTAATTTTCAACTCACCTGATTAACTAACCTTAGCCAGTTTTTTGTATTCCTATTTTTCTCCACAGCTACCAGACAATGTGGTACAAAGTATCCTTTGATAGGGAGGATTCTTTTTTTTTTCACTTGAAGGATAACAACATTAATCCCTTAAACATACGCTAGTAAATGGATAATGAATTATTAATATACGGGTTGCGAGGCTGTAAGTTTATAACCTTCCTCCAATGTACTACAAATGCCTGCATTATCCTTAAAAAAAACGGATTCTTTTGGTTAAGATATGACCGTTAAGTTATGAGAGTCATAGCTGAATATTGATAATAAGGAAACCTTTTTGTAAGGGAAATTCCGCACACAAATAAACATACATATTTTAAAGCGAACGTAATGCATAGTGTAGAAAAAAAATTGATTGTTTGTAGTTTTACGTCCCTTTTCATGACTTTTCAGTCAACTGAAACGTTACCATAGTGTTTATCGGTGAAGGATCTCAAATTTAGACCTCTTCTCGACTTTTAGGGCCATTGAGCAGTGAGGGTAGTTTATCATGCCAACGCCTACCGTGACACGGGAGCTCTGGTTTTTTTTAAAGTTCTCACCCAAATGGGCCGTGACTTTCACTTCTAGTGCCGGTCGCTTGGCGAAGGAACAATCAAAATCTATGTTAACGTCTAATATACGAATAATTTTTGTTTGTTTGTTTTGTTGTTTAACGTCCCTCTCGAGAATTTCTCACTCATATGGAGACGCCACCATTTGCCGGTGTTTGCTCTAGAGTCGCGATGTAAGGAGTAGATCCTTACGTCGCGGGTTCGAATCCACTGCGGGACTTGGAGGCCGGTCATTTGGATGAGACCGTATAAACTAAGGTCCCGTGTCGCAGTAGGTGATGGCACGAAAAAGATCCCACACTGCTCAATGGCCCTGAGTGACGAGTATAGGACAAAATAATTATACAAATAATAGTTAAGGTTTAAGTCACCAGGTTATGAGATTGAATGGAAGTAACTATTGTTAATTGATAAAACATCTCCGATATATCTGAATGTCGAGAGAAGCCACAACACGTGTTTTCTTCTTTTCATGTAGAAGATTTTGAATAAATTCTGCTTCATAGGAATATAAAAACAGATCAGCTAATAAAGGAGCACCATGAGTGTCCATCTATAGCAGAAATGGCCTTCATAGAGTACATAGATGTTGTCAATTAGGAACTCCAGCATACTTTTAATATCAACATCTGAGTACTTGTGTGAAGAATCAGTGATTTTTAACAAAGCAATTTTGTAGAAGACCAATCACAAGATATGAAAATTCCATTTTTATTGAAGGGGCAGTTGTTTATAAATGATGTCAATGTCAAAAAGCTTAGCTTTCATTTATGGTGAGCAATTGTTGTTACTATACAAAAATGGACCCTCTTGGTGGTGAATATGGTTTGATATTCACCAGAAATATATCAATATTGACTAACAATAAGAATTGTGACACATGTCACCATAATAAATCATTTGAAAATCTTTAGAGTCTATAAGGGGCACAGGCTCTGGCAGAACGGTTGCGTCTCGGAATTTCCTTCGAGACATTAACAATGTCAGTAGATAACCAGTTTTGGTATCAAACAAACCAAACCTTTACTAAAGTAAAAGTTTGTAAGGTTTCAATCAGAGATATTTTTGACAATTCATTTTCGGAACCCATGTATTCCATTTCCAAATTTTCCATAAAAAAATTATAGAATTTGAGGTATTTCGATATCAAGTAATTCGTTTAATATCAACCTCACTGGACAGTGAAATAATACATACTCAAACTCATAATTCCAATTTAAGTACTCCATAGACATAGAGCAGAATACTGGATCGTTAAACCAGGGCACTGCAATGTGATTGTGTGAATGTGATGAGATTCTTTAACAATACACTTTGACGTTGGTGTAGTTATGGACATCGATAATACAATAGATCAAATATACATGATATTGATTCACTTTTACCTTACGTCAATTAAGTCTTCATCACATTTGCAATAAACTTTAATCGGTTCCCTCGAAGTTTTTGTATGGACAATTAGGAGAAGCTAAAGCAAGTCTATACTTAGATTTTTCAAATACAGAATACAAGCTAGTGTTTGTGATTAGGGATTTTGCCAGGCATAAGCTCTCTCAACCACCACCAAGACACGTGTATTGAAAGATAATTATTCCAATTCAACCCCTTGGTTCCTTAAACTTAAATTTGCCAATAAAGGAATAGATGATGTGAACATTAGTAACATTCTTAATTATAAAAATGTTCAGTCTTGCATTCCACCATATTTCAAGTTGAAGTCTACTCCCTGCATTTCCTACAGATATTCCCCAACTGTTACTTCCAAACTTTTTAGGTATAAACAAAACGTACAGTGCCTAGATGTTGAACTCCTCTTAAGAGTTCTTGCTCTTCCTTCTGCTGGACACGTCATTACTTGCAATGTCAATAAAGTAAATCTGAACACTGTCAGAATGGATTAAGTCCTTTAGAAATACATTGAAGAATTGTATTTGAAATTTAAAATGCAATATGTAAACCAAAATATCCTTCCAATTTTGCTAAATCTGAAGTGTTGAAAGAATTAGGAAGACAACATGAAAAATATGTTATGGTCCCAGCAGATAAGGCTTGTGACAATATCGTCTTTGTAAGGTTCATCATCACAACTGTCTTTGAGTAGAATTATTCTACGTTTGGAAATCCAACTTTTATTTATCACAGTTCACTTTGTAATGTGGATATTCTTCAAGTTAACGTTTCAGTCTTTTAAACTTTAAACATCCCAGTCAACGAAAGTGAGTTTGATTAACCCTACCTATACTGGATTCCTAAACTTCATTACAAATCCTTACAAGCAAAGATGCATTGACGGGACCAGCAAATGCTCTATCAAGCCCCTATTTTTACTCCTCACAGAAATATTAACAGCACATTCTAAAGTTGGTGTAAATCAAATGTGAATTCTCAAAAACTCAACAATAAAATCCTTTAAAAAATTTTAATATAATATTATATTAAATATTTAATATGATATATAATACTTAGTGTTTAAAATCTTGAAATCACATTTTCTTAAAGTCAGTAGCAACAAAACGAATGACTTTACTACACGTTATACAAGCATTTTTCCTCATTGAGCCTCCATGCTTAACATAGAATATTCTGTCACACATAATCCACTTGTATCTTCTAAAGTGGACCGTTCACGGTAGCTCAGTCTGTAGAGCGCTCGCTCCGTGATCGGGAGGTCGTGAGTTCGAATCTCGGCCGCGACTGACCTAAGTCGATTAAAAATAGGTAGCAACTGTTCCTTCGCCATGCGCTCGGCATTTTGAAGTGAAAGTTGCGGGCCCTTCGGATGAGACCTTAAAAACTGAGGCCCCGTGTCACGACAGGCGTTGGCACGATAAAGATCCCTCACTGCTCAATGGCCCTGAGTGCCGAGTAAAGGTCAAAATTTGAAGCCCTTCACCGGTATATGGTGACGTCTCTATATGAGTGAAAAATTCTCGAATGGGACCTAAAACAACATACAATCAATCAATCTTCTAAAGTGATAAAATAAAATATATTTTTCCCACCTGAGTAATTCTCATTCATTATATCGTACAGGAAGCTGACCATTGTCCGTCTTTTTCG